GGCAGCGGCGCAGCTCGGGCTGGGAGCTCTTTATTGACGGCCCGGGGGAAGGAGCAAAACCCGGCAAGCCCACAATCAAGGAGGAGACGCGATCACGCAGGAAAGCAAGCCGCGCGCAGTTCGCGATAAGCTTAGGAATTGCCGTCAGCAGCAGAGGCCGCAGTGCGTGCCCCCGAGGAGCGCGCACCGGGGACGCGTTTGGCTCCAGAGCCGGTGTGGCCCCCGCAGCTCCTCAGCTCCGCGCCCTGCTCGGAGAGGACTGAATTTCAGCGAGCCCTTGATTTACCCCCAGCTGTAGGGTCTGTACGGAGAAAGGAGACAGCGTGAGACCGGCGTGACAGACAAACAACCGGACACCTCCAGCTCCCAAGGGATGCAGCGCTGAGCCAGCGCTGGCAGGCTTCGACCTGGCACAACCTCTGCTCCCGGGAGAGGGACATCCCACCTGCATCTGCGTCAGCCTCAGGGCACTGCTGCCCCAGCCCAGAGCCCCCGGGAGGGACGGGGGGCTGTTTCCCCCGGCCAGGGGCCAGCTTGGTCCTCGTTTCCCCTCCGAGAGCTGCCAGCTCCCACTGCCAAGCCAGAGCTTCTTCCAGCATGAAGGCTCACCTTAACCCCAGACGGGCTGAACTACCACCCCCCCCAAAAGAGGAGCTGCTGCTGGGGGTCTGAGACAGCTCTCAGGCCAAGATGCAGGAGAGGGGAGGAAGAGGACGGATATACACGGGCAGCACTGCCTGGGAGGCGGGAAAGGCCAGGAGAGCAACTCGGAGGAGACACAAACGGACAGTGAACATCACGGCCTGCACACCAGGCGCTGTCCCTGTGCCCTTGGCCATGTCAGCTCAGAAGAAAGTACCGGCACACAATGGGGGTGGGCTTGCTCCCCACCCAGCACCCCCAGTGCTCCCCCCCCCAGGCAGAGGCAGAGTCAGGGCCACCACCCCCACCGGTCGCTGATCAGAGGCGGCAGCTATCGGCTCCGACTCAGGGAGATGTCGCCCTGAGGTGTCCAGGGCAGCAGCGTTCGGTCACGTTTCTGTCCATGTCCATCGGTCAATCTCAGGCTGTCCATCACTGATTTTTGTTTGCTCCTGCTGCCCAGAAATCTGCAAGACAGCAGGGAGGTGGGTACACAGGGACCCAGGCAGGGGCAGAGGGGAAGAAAGCAGAGCCCCCTCCCAGAAAATGCCAGGCCCCGGTAACCAGGTGCCGGCTCCCCTCCCACCTCGGCAGACAGACGTAGCCCACGCGAGCCCGGTGTGCAACTGAACCACAAGACAAGACATGCTGCAGCGACTCAAGCAAGGAGGAAAGGGGAGGCAGAGGTGGTCAGGCCTCCGTGCCCAATCCTTTTGGTGAGGCGCAGAACAGGGGCATCCCGTCGCTTAAAGGGACACTCAGAGGTGTCCACACAGGGATCCTCCATCGGGAACGACAAGAGACACCACATCAACCGCAGGCACAGAGGAGAAACCCAGCAAGTTCTCCTGCCCTTCCCGAATCATCCCTAGGACTGCCCACGAGGACTCCAAGACCTTCCCCACATTGCCTGGTGCCCGCTCTGACGACAGGGTCGGGGGTGACCCTGCTCCACCTTCCCCAAAGCAGAGGAAGGCTTGAGAACAAGCACTGCCAAGTGGAGACGTGCACTGGCTGCCCTCACCCAGAGACCCCGAGACCCAGCGTCTGCCCCCTCTTCCCCAGCACAGCGTGTGCCACGCAGCTGCCTCAGCAGGGGCAGAGCCTGGTACTGGTAGAAGATGACCAAGGCATGTAAAGAAGGCAATGTCACACCCACTGCTACGGCAGTCGTGCCCCTGCAGCATGGGGCAACAGGGTTTCCGACACGAGCCCTGCTCTAATCCCACGGAGGGGGAAATGCACATCACCTAGAGTTTAGCAGAGGATGAAGCAATACCCAGCAAGGCGGGGAAGTTGTTGGCAGAGGTCAGCCAGCTCCCGCCATCCACGACCAGGGTGGTGCCCGTCACGTAGGAGGAGAGGGGGCTCGCCAGGTACAGCGTGCTGTGGGCGATCTCCGTCTTGTTTCCTGCGCGGTGGAGGGGGATCGTGTCGAACTGGCTTGATTCCTCGGCAAATTTCCCACCTAAGTGGCAGAAGAAAAAGTCAGCTAGGAGCATGGGACCACCTGCCCACCACCACTGCCTGCCAGACACTGCAGCACTGCTTGCCTGGGGCTTGCTGAGAGTCCCAGTGAACCCAGAGGAGATCCTGGCACAGCCCTGGGGACAGCCCAGGAACAGCGGCCTGAGAAGAGAGTTAAACAAGGGGAGTTCAAGCCCAGCAGTGGGATTTGTACCGCAACAGTGAGTTCAAGACAGGATGTCCAAGCCCTTCCCCAGCCTCCAGGGCTGAACTGCCCCCCTGCCGATGAACTGCAAGAGCTACACCATCAGGCAAGGCAGCTGGTCAGGCTGAGCTTTGTGGGAGCAAATTACATCATGGTGTCAGAGAGGACAAAAAGCTGCCACTTGACAGAAAAATCAGTGCCCTGCAAGGTACCAAGGATGTGGGAAGGGTTGCTCCCCCAAAGAGACGTGCCAGGACAGCCGGGCCCAACAGCAGTGCCCCCGGCTGCATCACATGCTCCACGAGCTGCACGGCCACAGCCCATGAGGGGCCCATCACGGCCCCCTCCCAGACACATGCCAAGCAAGCCACCACCAAGGCAGAGACAGGAGCCCCCGGCTGCCTTACCCAGCCGCCGGTAGCCCTCGGTGCCTGTAATGGGGCCCGGCGCCAAGCTGTTCACTCGGATGTTGTTGGGTCCCCACTCCACAGCAAGGTGACGGGTCATGGCATCTGGGAAGGGATTACAACGGGAATGAGAACTTGAGAGCAGAGCCATTCCAGTAACTTCTAGGGGGGACAAAAAGTCACAGGAGACTCTGGCCAGGAGTAAAAGGCCCTGGAAAAGCAAGCCTGGGGGAGAGAAGAGCCTCAGCCGAAATGCAAGCATGTAGTAACCACACCGATTCATGTTTGCCTCTCCCACGGCCATCTTCCCATCCCAATGTCTGGGAAGAACTGGCTTCCTTACTGGCCCCACACAGACCCCAGCAAGGAGCGTTTAGGTACCTATGGCAGCCTTAGCAGTACCAGCATGCACCTGGAGGGCCTGCCCTCGGTAGCTCAGGGTTGCCGTGATGTTAACGATGACCCCACCGTGGTCCTGGGGAAGGAAAGGAGACGTGGCATTAGGCGGGGGAGCGGCACAGGGCGTCACGCAGGGGAGTGCTGGGACAAGAGAGCTGGGCTAGGAGGGACAGTCATCTGTGGGCATCGCCACCTCTGCACTGCTAACCCATCACCGGGGCAGCACTGCCCACCCGCCCCCACTGAGCTGGGGCAGCCAGCGGCACCCTTCCAGAGAGGCCGAGATGCAGCGGACAAGCAAAGGCCAAGGGAAAGCAGAAGAGCTGGAAAACGAGCAGCAGTTCACAGCTTCTTCCCAGGAAGGTTGCAGAGCGTGGAAAGGTTCCACAAAAGTCAAAGCCCCAGGGCTAGAGACAGGCAGGATTCCCAGTTCCTGCACAGGGGCTGCCATCCCTGGGAGGGAACGGACTGGATCTGAGCAGGGTGGGTGGCAGAGGCCCAGCAGCACAGCCCTGGCTACGGGGGTGCTGTGCTCCCTTCTGCCCTCCACACTTCCCTGAATTTCTCAGGAGCAAAGTGTGGTTTGTTTGACACTAAACCCCTGCCTACCGGGAGCCCCTCCACCAAGTCCTCTGCCTCTGGTTCCACTTACCCGGAAATATTTCTCAAAGAGGACTTTGGAGGTGTTGAAGGTGCCGATGGTGTCGATATCTATCACAGTCTTGAAGGCGTTGAAGGACAGGGCGCTGGCTGGGCACAGAAAGTTTCCCGCAGCACCTGAAGAACAAGCAGCCAGGGGCATAGCCAGGACTGGGCCAGGAGAGATCAGGCTTGGGAAAGAGCATCTGGACAGCTGCCCAGGGGAAAAGGACCTTGGGGTGCTGGTTGACAGCCAGCTGAACGTGAGCCAGCAGTGTGCCCAGGTGGCCAAGAAGGCCAATGGCATCCTGGCTTGTGTCAGGAATAGTGTGGCCAGCAGGAGTAGGGAGGTGATTGTGCCCCTGGACTAGGCACTGGTGAGGCCGCACCTCAAGTGCTGTGTTGGGTTTTGGGCCCCTCAGTAAATGAAGGACATTGAGGGGCTCGAGCATGTCCACAGAAGGGCAATGAGGCTGGTGAAGGGTCTGGAGAACAAGTCTTATGAGGAGTGGCTGAGGGAGCTGGGGCTGTTTACTCTGGAGAAGAGGAGGCTGGGGGGGGACCTTATTGCTCTCTACAACTACCTGAAAGGAGGGTGTAGCGAGG